TTCACCCAATGAGGACAAAGCCATCGTTGGTTAGTCTGAAAGTCATTGACATTGATGCACTAGACGAGCTTTCACCGCCATTGTCACAAACGAGTCCACCGGCTGCAGCCTCCGGGAAAGTGAATCCTCCTGGGATGCCATTCTCTCTTAAGAAGAGTCCATTGCCTGGCCGCTTACCAAAGGATGGTACAGGTGGCAACCAGAAGAGGTCGCTCAAAGCTGCTAACCAAAGCTCGGCCTCAATGGCTCCCTATGCCGTGGTAGAGCCTCTAAAGATTAGACAGTCGCCGTCAGATTCTTACACAGCAGCAGCAACCAGTCCTGCCATGTCTTCTCCGTCTGTTCCGGCCGGAACCTCGCGGCCACGCAAGGCCGATTCGCAGAAGGGTTCTTCTAGCAGGACAAGCTCTCAGAGAAGTGTATCTCGTGACCTTCCACCGCCTCGGTCACCTCCACTGAGCACCCCACGGCCACCATCCACGACTGCAGAGAACACCACACTACCACCTGTTCCACCGCCCATCAGTACTATACCTAAGTCAAGGTCAAAGTCAAAGAAGAAGTCTACCTCTTCCTCAGCTGGCTCTCCGCCTCCAACGCCGCCGCCACCACCACCTCCTCCCCCACCTCCGCCTCCACCGTCACTAATGGGTGTTCCGGCACCTCCGCCACCTCCAATTATGTCTGGCGGACAACCGCCCCCACCACCACCGCCGCCACCGCCTGTAATCTCTTGCGGTCCGTCAGCACCAGCACTCCCTGCACCGGCTGCACAGCCCAATCTCTTTGCTGGACTCTCATCTCCGCCGCCCGGTTTCTTTAGTGGGCCAGGCGGTGCTCAAGCTCCACCGCCACCACCTCCTCCACCTGGCATGCAAGGTGCAGGATCTGGATCTGGTCCTCCACCTCCTCCTCCCCCACCACCAGGAGTAAGATTACCTTCAGCAGGCAGTGCAAGAGCAGTTACGAACCCAGGTGCTCCTCCACCACCGCCCCCTCCGCCACCGCCTCCACAACTGAGTGGTGCGCCGAGTGCACCAGGAGGGTTGCTCGCAGGGCTGCAGAATATCAAGTTGAAGAAATCTGGTGAGCATTTCCCCAGTACCCTGATGTGCCATCCTGGTATAGTCTTAACTTGTGGCATGTGTACTCAATGCTGTTACAGGATGACACAAATCATTCACTAGTGCATACTTATGCTGTTAGCTTGTTTGGGAATCTAGCATGCCCCCCTCCCTTCCCTTATAGATCTGGTGTCTTGTTTTCATTGCCGCAGTGCTATTTTCTGCTGCTGTTAGTGATGCAGTTGCTGCTATTTGCTGCTGCTATTTCTGCTGCTGCTGCTAGTGATGCAGTTGCTGCTATTTGCTGCTGCTAAAGATACAGTTGCTGCCAGATCTATGCTAGGATGCTGCACTTCTCCAGCTACATATGTTCATGGTGATGTTGTTTGCTTTCTGTAATGGTTTCAGCCGCACCGCCTGCATCACCCAAACCCGACTCTGCGTCTGCCGCTGGCAAGTCCGGCGGTGGAATGGATGGTCTTCTTGCAGAGCTTCAGAAAGGTGTCAAACTACGGCAAAGTCCTGCAACAAAGCATAAGCCGGTGGAGGGTAGGTTTTAAAGATCGTCATGATCCCTGTCAAAGTGCTTGAGATTTAACTTCCAGTGGATTACGCTTGATGAACTCCTCTTGATTGTGGGTGATGGCTGGTTTATTTCACTGCCAGCCCCCTCTTCCCCTCCCCTTACCACATGTCGGCGTCATGACGGCTGGAGATGGTATGGTTTTGTGTGCATTCTCTTTATCGTTTCCCCAGCAAACCCTGGTAAAGAACCAGAGAAGAACAAGGTCAGCTTCCCATTGCTGCGCAAGACGACCAGCAGTTCTAATCGAATCGGCGAAACGCAAGGTTTGTGTGCATGCAATTATTGCATGTCAAGCAATGAGTGATCATTTGCAAAGAGTGCATGCTCTGTGTTTGGAAGCCGTCTGCTTGGAAATCCAGTGCATGTGCATGTACATGCCAAATACGTGGGCACGTATGACATCCTCATGCCCACAGAAATCCGATCCGGGAGTCAACAGTAGCGCCGCGTTTTCATTCCAATTACCTCATGTACTGCCCAAAAGCCCATCCGGGGGCAGTAGGGGTCGCATGAGCCCTGGCGCTCCTTTCGTCTCACGGGGCGGATTTCTTTGGCCATGACCATAGAAGGCATGGCTAAAGAAACAGCACTGAGAGTGAGAAAATCAGGCTCCGGGATCTTTCCTAGTGTACATATTGGGTTGGTAAGAAGAGCTTGACAGGTTGGTTTTCCTCCCGACTGATTCTATGTAGCCTGATGCGCAGACCAGGATGTCCCAGTCTACTCTGCCGACCTTAGAGAACTGTATATTGAGGCCTGTACCTGTGTGCCTTGTTGATGCAGATGCTGAAGAAACAGATGGACCAATGGCCTCCATTCCTATGCTAAGAAAGAGCCCTGGACCAAAGCAAAGACTGCCTTCACAAGGTAAAGACCTGCTATAACATGTGACTTCAGAGAAAGCTGTGCAGTTGGAAACCTTGATTTACTAGTAAATCACTACAGTGCATATCCACCACCAGCAGAGAGTAAAGGCCTCTTTTACGGGCAAACAGAATACAATTGACAGTGGCATGGCGAATGATTAGAACACAACACCAAAAAATGAAAACAATTGTATGTGTGAAAAAAACGCAAAAAACGAGAAACAAAAAAACACCAAAAACAAAAAAAACCAGGAAAATACAAGGGCACTGTCCTGCCCACCATCGTCTCCAAAACCTCACAGCCGGCCCTCCGAGATTGCCAACTCTCGCAATGCATTCACAGGACGGTGATATGACGATCGAGCACCGCGGATGCACATGATCGCCGACCGCAACAATGCAAACGCCAGTCGACACCGGACATATGTCATTGTCTGGGCATACAACTTCGTGTCCCCACTCGAAATGAGGCCACACAGGCGCCTATCCACCACCAGCATGTCCTGTATGATCATGAGCACATAGCAGCTGCCAAGCAACAGTCCGTCTTCATTCAGAGAGATGAACATTTTGACCTTTGCCATTTTCTTAAAACACAATGCTGATGCAGAATGCATGCAAGACCAATATTAGGTGATAATGATGCAGGACCGGCAGATTTGTTCTTGATTTGTCCGGCCATAGCATCGCCTTTCTTACAGTTTGTGTATGATACGGCGAGTAGACACGGCCTGAGCAGCAGCACACGTTGATGGCCAAAACGGTCTGGCCACGGTCAGGCCAACCAGACTGGTTCGTTCTGGCCTGTGATGCATGGTGGATTTTGCTCTTACACACTCTACACTGGACAGGACAAGAAGAGCGGGAGCGCAACCAGTTTGCAATGCCACAGCTTAGAAAGAGCCCCGGCCCGCTGAAACGAGCAGAGGATAACGGCGGTCTGGCCGGCACATCTCCACGCCCTGTGCATATCGACCTCAAGTCCGTTTCAGTCCAAGGTGAGGCGGCGTTTTTTATGAGCCTAGTGTTGTGCTTCGGTGTTGATCCTGCTGAACTCTGCTGATCCAGTTTCTTTTGCTTTGGGAGTAGTTCCATGCGACACAGAAACTTCACCCCCCCCCCATGCACCCCTATGTTCATGTGTTGCTGTGTTTAGATTCCTTTATTAGTTCTGTCTTGGTACGCAAGCAACCAGATCATGTGACATGTTGTCAATGTGGCATATCTTTTCCTGAACGAGCTGCTGTTGTTTGCCGTTTTGCTGCACTTTCTCTCCGTCCTGTTCAGATGAGGTGAAGACGAGCGATGACGAATTTGACTGGCCAGCCCCACCGCCCATTCTCATGTCGCCTACTGTAGCAGCGCCAAATACACTGGTAGGATGGCCGTAGGCTGTAGGGTGTTTAGCCCGGCATTACCACATACGGTGCTGTGGGTGTTTAGCCCGGCATTACCACATACGGTGCTGTGGGTGTTGCACAAGTGACTCAGACTGGTTATGGAGGCATCTGGCAAGTCCAATGTTGTAATGAGTTTCATGAAGGACTTGGCTGATGGTATTGTTACGTTACATTCAAAGCTACATTCAAAGCTAAAAGCTAAAGTTACATTCAAAGCTAAAAAAAAGTACTGTACTTTAAGAACACAGAAACTGATGACCTGAAATCACCCGTTTTCGTGTTCAAAACACTCATCAGATAGAACAGTTGAAGCTACGGAAAGACTTTGGTCTCTGTTGGGTGTTTTCCTTTGTGTGGTACACTGTGGCCTTGCTTGGGCATAGAGCACTGTTTGCTGCAGGGACAATAGACACTTTGTCTAGATCTCAAAGGCTCACTTTTCCACATCATCAATCAACTGGTGCACTAAACCAGGTTACCGGAGTACAAATGCAGAGAGAGGCAGATGCGGCCTGATAATCGTGAGAGACTCGGAACTGCAAGAGAATCTTTCCTCTCTCCCAGTTTCGGTATGAACCCCATGCTGAAGTATAATGTACAGTGAAACATGTCTAAGACCACCGCCGCTCAAGGGACCTTCAAAATGTGGTCTCTGTTACCAGGCGGTCTCCTTATCCAGGGTCAGTTGACTGGAAATAGCATTCCTTGGTCCTGGTTTCAGTGGTCTTTTAGGACAGGTGGTCTTTTAGGACAGGTGGTCTTTTAGGACAGGTGGTCTTTTAGGACAGGTGGTCTTTTAGGACAGGTGGTCTTTTAGGACAGGTGGTCTTTTAGGACAGGTGGTCTTTTAGGACAGGTGGTCTTTTAGGACAGGTGGTCGCCCTGACAGGTTTTACTGTATATGTTCTCTTGTGTTGCATTGTGTTGTTGTGTAGTCTCCAATGGCTAGCAAAACTATCGCACCACCGGCAAGTTCAGGAATGCCTCTCGCGAGGCCGCCGCCCGGCGGTGGGATGAAGGCAAGCACAAGCCAATCTGAGCTCTCCAAAGTGAATCGGCTGCCACCAACATCTGGCGCTGCAAAGAAAGATGATGGTGAGTGCTTCTTGGGAAGTGTTATTGTGGTGTCCTCTCAACGAGTCTTGTCGTGTAGAATGCACACCAAGCTATCAACAATCCACGGTCACGTTGTGAGGCAAAGAACCCTTTTTCAATCGCAGTGCAAGTTTACAAAATAATAGTAGTAAAAGAAACATGATACAACAGAGAAATAGCATGTGCCCCTCATCAGGATTACAATTGTGACATTATCACGATAGTTTCCTGTATTTCTGCAGGAGAAACACACGGTAACGTGATGTGTTTGTCTTTCATAGGACTAAGCAGGACTTCAGGGGTTTAACTCTAAGATACATTATATATGTAGTGCCGTCGATCTAGGCGTAAGGTTGTTGCCGTCATCGTCGTTGTTGTTGTGGTTATTGTGGTTATTGTTGTTGTTGTTGTTGTTGTTGTTGTTGTTGCTGCTGCTGCTGCTGCTGCTGCTGTTGTTGTTGTTGTTTGCAGTGGCAACTAATGGCAGTGCTGCAAGTACAGAGGCGGATAGCAGTCTGCCCAGCTGGAAGAAGGCACTGAAGAATAAGCGCAAGAAGAGTGAACAGGTATGCTTGTTAACTACTGAGACACACTCATCTCTACAGTGCTGAGCTAGTGTATGTCCAGCAGCCAGTCATCTGGTCTATAGCCAATGTGCCAGTAATCTGCATTAGGGATGGACTGCAACATTGGTCCTTTCTTAATTTCCCTTGACATTACTCTGCAAGGAGCAAGTAAATTAAAGGTGTAAATATCAAAAAGCAAGTTAAAGCTCCATTTCAGCTCCAGAGTTCAGGTTTACAATCCTCAGCCATGCCTTGGCCTGACATAGAGTGAATGGAGCGCCTTGCTTGTGCATGCTGCTTTTTGATATTTACACCTTCAACCATACTGTAGTGTTTCGGATTAAAGCCCGTCTCATATAGAAGCTTGTTTGCTATCATAATTAGTCTGACGGTATTCGAATGCTCTGCCTGTGTGTGACACCGTGACACAACCTCAGGAACAGGATGAAATGCAGAAGATGCAGGATTTGCAACGTTACGACGGTGTGCCGGAATGGAAGAGAAAAGTACTCATAGAACGCGACCAGAAGAAATGGGCTGACGGCGAGGCAGACAGGGCAGCCGAGCGCAAGGCCGCGGCCGATAAGGAGCACTTGGCTAGCCTCCCGGCTTGGAAGCGAGACCTGATCCTGAAGAAGAAGTAGCTACTTGCACAGCATGGTATTTTCTGCAAGGTAATTGTGGTGCCGTACATCTGTGGTGGCATGTACTCTATCCTTGTAGGACAATGATATTTCTTCCTGGAATCTCGTGAACTACTTCATAATGATTTCTCACCATGCATATGACTGCTGGCAGTCAATTCAAAAAGCATGATAAACACTGTCGCTTGTATCCATTACCAACCACTTCCGAAGTGTTCTAGAGAAGTATTTGAAGAGTAAAGCTGTGTAACTTGAATGCAATGTGCTACAGACTAAGTGCAAATTAGCATGGCAGTCTCCCCTCTTGCCATGCTTCTGTTCCAGACAATGATCTTGGAAACAAGTTTACTCTTTGGAAATGTTTGCCGTTTCCCTTGATTTTAGAGCTCTCATTTTCAAAGCGTTTCACTTCAACAGATAACAAGCTGTATAATACACTGCATATTTTTTCCTTGGAAGCACCCTTCCTTAATATCCAATCTTGATATTTTTTTACACATGGATTCCATTTCTGCTGCAAAGCATATCCCCTGTAAAGTATTTCACTACTCGCATATGCCTGTTGCGGGCAACTAATTATTTCCGACACCGGCTGTCAAAAACCCACAATATTTCAATTTTCCTACAATTGGAGCTGTAACAAGAATGTCACTCCCGTTCTTGTCCAGGAATTCAAATAATACAGTAGAAGCCTGCCGTGGATGGTCGACTACTGCAATGGGGCAGTATCTATGCAATGGGACAGTATCTGTGCGCAGAAAAAAGCAGTCATCGTTCGCCCTGGAGCTTGGTTGTGTCCGTGCATATGAAATCACACTGGAGTAGATTCAAAGGGTAGCCCTTCTGCAGCCTATGGCTACCAATAGAGTGGTTTCACGTCTATCGCCGTGGTAACCACCACTCGCGGGATAGCCATGTCGGTTCCAACTCCACTCAATGGTTGAACACTTGCATCCATATATGGATCACATGATGTCCACCATGTTGGTTAAACTGTCCACATGCCGTTATCACTATGACACTAAGTGCACTAATAAGTGTGTCACATGCACGTAGCCGCCGCACCTGCACAGGGTCTCAAGTCCCGCTTGGATTTGTACTGCCACGAGCCTCCTCTCGATTTGGTTACTAGTATTCCTCTCTTTCTTATCTAGCCGCCGACCGCTGGAACTCAGTTCCGCCATCGGTCCGCCTTGCTGCTTCACCAAGTCAATTTCGTATCGCTATCCTAGATTGGCTAGGGTACCCCGTAAGGAGACCATAGGTCTGTGGGGACTGCCCTAGAGAAATATGAATAAATACTAGGGGTGAAACGGCTCTATGTTGTTCGGGTACCCTAACGCCAGCATAGTTTTCCACAGTTCGGGTATCGGTTCCATGTACTCATTTCTCCAGACCGACAAAATGCGTTCGTGACAATATTTTGTTTTGAAAACATGTTTCCGAACAAGAGCGAGACATCGGAGAGGCCATGTGCGAAGAAGATAATGACCAGGGAACCCTTTGGTCCTTGGAAGAGCGGTAATCGTAAGGTAAACTATTGAGTAGACTTGATGCGTACATGCATTTGTAAGAGAACGAGTCTCGAAGTTTATCGAGTTTCGGTTCGAAATTTGACGGAACGGGTACCCGATTCTTTTCAGCTGGCGGTTCCAAAACCGGTTCCTCACCCGAACTACTACTACTACTACTGCATGACAAAGATGTGAAAGCACTCCGTATCCTAGCAACACATTAAACAACATGGCAGACCTAGAGACCCAACTAACTATTATCCGAGGCAGAACAGCTCGCAAGATAATCCTTCAAAAAGAAGTAATTCCTGGACTTCTGTCTTTAAAAAAAAAGAATAGAAAGAACTAGGGATATATGGACATAGGCATGTGGTCATAGTGTAAAAAGAGGAGGCAGTAGATTAGTCTACAATCCGCTGGAGAACTTTGAAAGTTTCAGTCGAAAGCTCTGAAGCAGTACATATAGTGACATGATCGTAACACTGTCATTCGTTGGTGTCAACTACCTACTTCTGTGCAGGCAAGTAAACGGAGACTGGTTAAACACAACAACCTAACCGCTGAGATACCACATGTACAGGAAAGGTACAATGTCCTTTCCAGAGGAGAACTATTGTCCCGGTTCACTTGGGTCGGCCGGGAATCATAGACAATAACAGGAAACGAGGGTCAACGACTGCCCGCATACATACACAGAGTATCCGATCAGGACTAGCGAAGAAGAATATGCGACATTTGACTTGAGAGAGTGCTCTATGTGCCGTTGTGTGAGACATGGCCTAAATGACTCGTCCATGGAGTTTACTGGCCAGTGGATCATCACAAAAATCCATCATGATACCCGGTTCTCTAGCTATCCAATACTAAAGGATAAAGCATCCAAATGTGTCTTGAAGCCGTCTTATAACTTCGTTCAGCACCTACAGCTAAGTTGGAAGACTGCTCTTTCTATCTCTCTGTCTTTCTCAGGATAATGTTGCAGCGCTTGCCGGGCTCTCCTCGCTTTTATAGCCGGGTGGGCCCACTTCTATCGGTCTCCATCTTCTCTGCGTGTCCTCAAGTCTAATGTCAGCATTTTCCACCTCATCGTCGTCACGCACCGGCTAAGCAGCACAATGACAAAGAATAACACATAGAGTGCGAAATTGAACTCAGATAATGAGCCAGTTTAAATGTAAAAATGGAGTTATTCTGACTGCTTATTATCTTGTTACAGTCGTGGATAGTTGCTTCATAACTCGTTCCCATGTGATTTCTTCTTCTATTTTTACATAGAGTGCGGAAGAAAACATTTCGTAAAGCAATGAACGGTGACCAATGGTATCGGGAAAGGTACCCACTCCATGAAAAATGAACTAAATGCCAATGAACTTAGCACCGACTTTACTATAACAGTTCAGCTGACATGTCCACGCTTAAAAGTAGTGGTCGTGTTTCCATTGGAGACTTAACGTTGATGGTTGATGCTTGCCATAATCAACTGTGCTTACAGTTACATCATGTGGCCTCAGGCTGGACTGGACCTCATCTCTTCGCATGTGCAGTCCGGCAATTGCTCAGTTCTTGGCTCATGAGATATATATTGAGCTGTATACAGCTACAAGTGCTGACCACTCTCTGGTTCAACTCAGATGAATGTAATGCCCCCTCCCCTTCTTTTCTCACGCACACACAATACAGCGTAAAACTGCAGGTCTGTCGGTCGCAGAAGAACGGGGGGGGGGTCAGCCTCCTAGCCTAGACCGTTCTTATTTTCATGTGTTACAGTCTATGCACAGCTGAGTCACCGTGTATGCATTGGTAACCAGTACTTGGTGAAATTCTAGCCTGCTCGTTCTTCAGCGCCCGACAGTACTGCAGTGCACACACGCCAACAGATGCTACCATGCCTGCCTTCACCCACACACCAACAGATACTACCATGCTTGCCTTCACCCACACACAGGGGCGTGCTCGGCCCCCCAACTAGGGGGGTGCACGGGAGCCGAGGGGATTATTTGTTTGCAACCTTTCTTGAATTTTAGAGCATATTTGCATACATTACAATTGCAATTACCCAGATTGAAAATTTTTGGGGGGTGCACGTGCCCCCCGTGCCCATCGCCGAGTACGCGCCTGACACACCAACAGATACTACCATGCTTGCCTTCACCCACACACCAACAGACACTACCATGCTTGCCTTCACCCACACACCAACAGATACTACCATGCTTGCCTTCACCCACACACCAACAGATACTACCATGCTTGCCTTCACCCACACACCAACAGATACTACCATGCTTGCCTTCACCCACACACCAACAAACAAGAGCAGCTTGCAACTTGTACAGCAACCTGACTGTGCAGTGGTCTGTCCCTCGCTAATCCAGCACCATCTGTGTGACGGCAGCTCTGCTCGATTGGAGAGGGGTGGCTGTATACGTATATGTACTTACCGGCATCACCACGATGTGTTCGCCGGTTTGTTCCATTGGTTCCGAGGAGTCCGTTGAAGGGAACACAAACGTGCCGTCACCGGTAGGCTGTGCAGGAAGCAGGAAAGACAACAAACTGCAGCTTTCAGAATGATGTGTTTTCATTGCTACCAGGTTTGGCCTGATTTCCCCTTGGCCCCACGCTAACTACACACCATGAGTAAGTGGATTTTCTAATGGGCGACGCTAAGTATGCAGCATGAGTCGTTGGGGCACGTGCAGGCAGCGCTGTGTAGCCGCGAGTCTGCGGCCTCGCCAACGCTCCTCAACTGATGATGTCATCACAATACAATACCGTCTATAGAGATTTTAAGGTGGGACACCACCTTCCAGGGGTCAAAAAATCAACTTTCGAATTGTCACCTTTTTGCTATTGGAAATCAAAGCATATGTCGTGAGGTGTCAGTATTCCAAATTTGAAGTGATCGAGACCAACCGTTGCAGCCATATGACCGTTTGAAATATGAAAAATTGAAAAATAATTGTATACATCGATGTTCGTACACTAAAACGAGTAAGCTGTCAAGATTATGGAGTTTTGGAGTTTTGAAGCACGTTTACTTCAAAATTGTATTGCCAAGGCAGCAGTGACCCGGACCAGAACATTTTTCTTTCCCAAATGACTTCTTTGCTGTTTCGAGAGATGGGGAACAAGAAGAGCAGGTCGTGCAGGTGTCCTGCAAAGAGAAGATTATCAGGAAATAGGTTTGCTAGGAGGACAGCACCTGTCCAGGAAGCCGCGGAGGGTGTTTGTGAAGCTGAAGCAGTGACAGAGTCTGCCTCGAAGCGCGAGTTGTACGATGGCGTTCCAAAATGGATTCAACTGAGCGACAGTGAGTCGGATTCGGAGGAGAGATTTGATGGATGTGCCCTGACTTAGAACTCAGACAGTGACTCGTCGAGTGATTCCTCGTGCTCAGAGGACTTTCATGGCCCAATCGCTGAAGGTTGTGGTTCAGACGCCACTGGAAATCGCTTAGCGTAATAGTGAATTTGAATAGTTTACGTAATTTTATTTTCTCTGCGAGGTGAGCTGACCATTGCTGAAACTGCACGTTCTGGCCTTGCATCCACTGTCAGCATCACGTGCTGCAATGAAGAGTGTTCAGCAGTCACCGGCTTGCCAGTGGTGGAGAAGTCAGGACGGTTTTATGAGTGCAATCGCCGCAGTGTTCTGACAACGCGCACTCTGGCATTTGGCCATGTTGGCTTGGAAAATTTTGCGGCCTCATGAATTTGCCCCCACCTGTTCAGCTATCTGCATTCCAGCGGCGCCAGCGAGCATTGTACAAGGCGGCAAAGTCAGTTGCGCAAATCAGCATGAACGAAGCAGCAGATGAAGTGCGTAAGCTGAACAAGGCAATGGACAGGCCTGAGCATATAGCTGCTGTCACCTATGATGTACGTGGATGAAGCGCGGGTTTTCCTCCCTGCATGGTGCGTTTACGGCAATTGACTGGCAAGTCGGGAAGATCCTTGATGTGCATGTAGCTTCCAAGTACTGCCATGGCTGCAGCTTGTGGAAAGCTGGCCGGGAGCGGAGTGAAGTCACAGCTGACGAGTATGAGAAGTGGAAGTCGGGCCGCATATCCCTCTCTGCAACAGCAACACCGAACGGGCGTCACCCGGTATGGAGACTGAAGGCGCTACCACCATCTGGGGCAGATTAGTACAGGAGCACAAGCTAAAGTAATGCACATATATTGGAGATGGTGACTCCAACGACGTTACTGCCGTGCAACAAGCTAAACTATATGGGCCTGAGATTGATATCGTTAAAGAAGAGTGCGTTGGCCATGTGCAGAAGCGTCTGGGTACAGCCTTGCGCAGTCTGAAGAAAGAATTGCCAGGCAAGAAGTTACCGGATGGCCACCATGTAGGCGGAGCAGGACGCCTTACTGATGACCTCATCGACAGGCTCCAATTCGACTACGGGCATGCCATTCGCTCGAACATCAATGATGTGCAGGCCCTGCAGGGTATGGCACGCACCATCTGGGCTGGCCCATTCCATCGTCGCTCAACGGATGAAACGCCTCGCCATCAGCATTGCCCACCTGGTCCAGAATCTTGGTGCGGATATCAGCTTGTAAAAGCTGGTGTCAAGCTGTCCTACAGCCACCATTATGTGATGCCAGCAGCAATACTCGATGTGATTAAGCTTGTGCATGTCCACCTGTCTCAGCGAGAGATCCTCGGCCGTTGCTTGCACGGCACAACTCAAAACCAAAACGAGAGCTTCACTGAACAGCCTCATTTGGCAAATGCGCCCCAAGTCCTCCCTCCTTCCGTGGCGTTGCTGTGGTAGAACTCAGTGCCTACCTATCTGTCCTCCACTTTAACAACGGCTCTGTCGCTTTGCTGCAAGTTCTACAAGAGCTGGGCTGTCAGCCTGGCGTTTTCTTACCTGAGAATGCCAGCTCATGTTGGAGGATAGTATTAGGGTGGCCAAGGATGAGAAGAAGATGAAGCAGGAAGAAAAATAGCGGAGGAAACAAAGGAGGAGGCGCAGGAAGGGAATTGAAGAGCAGGTTGTGGAAGCTGAGGGTGTCACATACGAGGCTGGTGGGTTTTAGTTGTAGCCCACCAATCATTACTTGGATGAACTGTAAATTCTCTCTTTGGTGCCTACATTGTGTAGCAGTATATAGTGATTGAACATGGAAAATTTTGAGGCAACCCGAGGCTGCGGATCCATTTTCATGATATGCCTATTTCAAATAAGCGGATGATATCATGGGGGTGAGTCAACAGACCTGCTTATGGGCGTTATGAATGCAGCATGTGTAGCTAGTGCAGCGCTGAGCCGCGACTTCGCAATAGAGTGTGATATCTAGCTGCAGCAATGTAGTTATCTCACCTCATTGGCATGGAACATTCCCCTGTATGTGAAACCGTTGTAGAAGATCTCTCCCGAACCTTGTCTCCGCCCGTGAACCCAGATACCAATAGACTGGACAGACACACAAGGATATCAACATACACATACACATACACACACCTCAGACCTCAGACCTGCCCATCGCGGAAGCGATGATAGCGAACAGCTATGTTAGACATAGCAATTTGTGCTGGGATTACACCATTCAACAGCTTGCAAGGCTGATGAATTGACCGCCACTATTTTTAGCCTGGTATCCACCACACAGCTGATTGAAGTGACTTTTTCTGGCCAGTGAATCCCTATTTTTCATTTTTCTTTTTTTTTCTTTTTTTTTCTACACACACACCACACCACATGCTCCGGCATACGCTGGCTGTTGGTAACCACCCAGGAGAATGAAAGAAGAGTCAGGAAGAGTCCGAGAAAGAGAAGAAAGACGTGTGCAACCATAATCAATCGACGAGGAGACAATAGTCGTAAAATGGCAATAAATAAGATAAATTGTGCACTCATAACAACAGCAAAAATGAAGAAAGTCAAGTTCCATAACGTTTTCTTGTGACTGTCATCAGTGGAACGCCGTCACATAAAAATGTAATAACTAAAACGCACACTTATATACATGTAGCTAATATGGTTTCAGGTAGAAATACAGCAGCTAACAAGTACAAAAAGCGAACTTGCCACTACCTTTCTCACATACACTATATTCACACATTGCAAAGGTGAAAACTTCCCTTTTTGTACTTGTTAGCTGCTGTATTTCTACCTGAAACCATATTAGCTACATGTATATAAGTGTGCGTTTTAGTTATTACATTTTTATGTGACGGCGTTCCACTGATGACAGTCACAAGAAAACGTAATGGAACTTGACTTTCTTCATTTTTGCTGTTGTTATGAGTGCACAATTTATCTTATTTATTGCCATTTTGCAACCATAATCGTCGGGAATTGAACCCGCAACCTCTCGATTGGAAATCGACTGCACATACCACTGCACCATATGGGACACACACACACACACACACACACACACACACACACACACACACACACACACACACACACACACATACATACACACACACATATACACACACAGTGTAAAATGGAACATCTGGAGCTAACATCTCAGCTCTATACTCGGCCAAAACGGCAAGAATAATATTCATACACAGTAAACGAGAAAAGGCAAATCACCGTACTTGTGGCAGATTAGGAAGCCAAGGAAACAATGAGAAACATTTGGTTTTAACCAACTTACTCATATCCAGTGAAAATTCAGCATAGCATACATCCAAGGTATGTAAACATTTTAAGCCAAGGTACGGTATAAACCAAGGTACGGTATAAACCAAGGTACGGTATATTGTCCAAAGTCAAATGATTATCAGATCTTTTGTAAAACTGCGGGGTCCTCAACAACAGCACGCTCTATCTAGTATACATGTATATCTAGTATACATGTACTATCTAGTGTACATGTACTATCTAGGGTACTTTGTCACGGTGAAGTTTCACTCTACTGTGACATCATTGGATGACTGGGTTCATGACTGGGTTCATGACTGGGTTCATGACTGGGTTCATGACTGGGTTCATGACTGGGTTCATGACTGCAGTACTGCTCGAGGACAAACATCATCAACAGCTCGTGCACGAGACAGGCTGAATGCATGACAGAAAGATCTTTTTTTCTTCTTCTTTTTTGGTATTATATTTTCAAGGATCCTCCAGAGGCAAATGGATGCCTATCAAAGGGAGTCTCCTGAGGAAAGGAAGTTAAGGTGGCTGTTATGAGAGAGGGAGGAGGAAGGGGATCTGCAGTGATCATGACAGATCGGCGGTAATGGACTTACCTTGGTGCCGTCTTTGTACGTGTAAGTACCCTGGCCGTGTTTGACATTCTTTTCCCACAGTCCCTTGTACGCGTCGCCGGTTACGTATGTGTACGTGCCCTCACCTGTACGCTGATCTTTTGCCCATTGACCTGTGTACGTATGTGTGTATGTGTGTACGTATGTGTACGCGTGTATGCGTGTGTGTATGTGTGCGTGTGTGTGTGTGAGAGAGAGAGAGAGAGGGTGTGTGTACATGTGTGTGTGTATACGTGTGTGTGTGTATGTGTGTGTCCATGTGCAGCAATGGGATGGTGCGGCAATGCAGTATGGTAGGATTGAAAGGACGGCCCAGCCAAACATAACAGATCAGCACGACATCAGTCAAATGGAGAACGTGGGTCATGACAGCATGAGAACGAACTTCAGGACATGATTTGATGTGCAGTTGCAAAAAATATGATATCAGAACTTGGGGCATAGGGCTAATCTTGTCCTACCTCTTTGAGCATGCCCGTACATGCAGGGTTCCAGCGCTTTTAAAAAGTGTTCCAACCATGAGGTTACCAGGCATACACAGTGAACCTGTGGTAAGTACTTGTGCAGGAGCCTTGATTCACCAGTACAAGTACATGTATAGGGGACATGCATACATCCAATGCACCCAACCAATGCACCCAACCAATGCACCCAACCAATGCACCCATCCAATGCACCCATTCGATGCACCCATTCGATGCATCCATCCAGTAATTCCAGACAATCTGATTCCTCACCAGACGCCCATGCAAACCTGTTCCCACACTACGGCACACATGGTATCCAGCAACAATGGCATAGTAACCCTGTAGTGGCATAGTAACCCTGTACAGTAAGATCGGGCGCCGAAGAACGCAGGGGCTAGAGCGCAGCCTAGGAAAGTTCTTAAATTTTTGATTCTAGCCAGACCGTTCTTATTCACACGCGCGCGGCGAGTCGAGTGACGTCATGACGTTTGTCATGTACATGTACATGTACAGGTACATGTAGTGCAATGTAGTACTTCTAAACTAGTGGGTGTCGTAAATGGGAATGACTGTACATGTAGCAGTTACTGTTTACACGTACGTGTACATGACATGTACTCACCTCCCATACATGTACAATGTAGATCTACGTACAATGTAGATCTAGTGTTCTTAAATCTGATAATTCTAGCCTGGACTGTTCTTAAATTTTGCCGGTTTTCCAGCCTGAGTGTTCTTCGGCGAGGTGTTCTTCGGTGCCCGATCTTACTGTAGTGGCATAGTAACCCTGTAGTGGCATAGTAACCCTGTAGTGGCATAGTAACCCTGTAGTGGCATAGTAACCCTGTAGTGGCATAGTAACCCTGTAGTGGCATAGTATTATAGGCCTCAGCGGCTAATGCTAGCATTAAAAGTAGCATTAAAGGCCTTTTTTGGAAACTAGCATTGCTCTAGCATTGCAAGCAGGTTTTATGGGGTAAAAAGTATTAAAAGGGGCCTGGGGCTAAAAACCTTTCCAAGGCATACGCTGCAATGACCCATATGGTAATATTTGCACCAATTATGGAGTCTGGGCCTCTTCTGGCACACAGCAAGTGCACAACAGGATTCAAGGGTACATATATGCCATACAGTAACAAAACGGCTACTCTTGGTCCGGCCACAGTCAAAATACCGTTACCGCTAGCATTATCGTCTCAATGCTAAGGGTGCCTATTTGGAAGCGTTTCTATCTTTAATTTACCATGGTGCCCTGTTTCATCTGATCGTGTCTACAATGAAATTAGACACAAGACCATCCGAAAAAGTATTTCTGTACACCATTTTCTTTCCTTTTTATTGGTGCTGAAACTAGCATTAATGCTGCAAACGAGCACTCAACCTAGCATTAGCAACCAAAATAACTAGCATTGCCAAAAGCATTTTTGCCCAAAAAAACTAGCATTAGCCGCTGAGGCCTACGATGATAGTAACCCTGTAGTGGCACATTCAGTGCAGGTAATAGGTACACTTGCAGTCGAGCATTGTTTGCATTCAGGAACGAGGAGGGCTGCTAACCGGTAAGTACTGCTCACCCTCATACTGACTCCCGTCTGGATAGACAAAAAGTCCTTGGCCGTGCTTCACGCCGTCCAGATACTCTCCCTGGTACTTTCCTCCGGACTTGAACCGGTACAGACCCTGCAAGTGGACAAGAATGGGAAAACGTCAATGATACTCCGGTATCCAGTTAGGCACAGACCATGTGATCTTGCTGTGATACTCCGGTATCCAGTTAGGCACAGACCATGTAATGTTGCTGTCTCCGAAACGTTTGTTTACCGTGTGACGTGTTCAGCAATAGTGAATGCATGTAAGGGAGTTGTACGTGTTGGGGACCTCAGCTTATCTTGCTGCATGATCTCACCTGGCAATAGCAATGACCTTCTAGTCTGAGATTCGCCCGAGGGGGACAGCGCCACGAAGTGTGCCACTGCTGTACACTTGACTAAGTTTTCTGCTAGAACTTCAGGGACACTAGGCTGAGTAGAGAAGATTTAAAAAGTAGTTGACTGTATGCACGTACATACAGTAGGACCTCGCTTTTAACCGCACACATCCGTTTTTCCACAAAATATCCGGATAAGCGAGGGAACCAGATAATCGAACACACGGTGCGTCTGCCCAGTGTGGTGCGTCTGCCCAGTGTTGACTCCGAGACCCACGGTCGGACGAGCTGCCCAGGCCTCACCACTAGGCCTTTCCCAAATCGGCCGGCCGAAAAATTCGCCGAAAAGTAGCCTTTTCAGAAAATCGCCGATCTTTTGGCCGAATCCTGAAATTTTACCAAGAAATCGCCGAATATACATGTTTTGCAGGGTCGTGGGCAACTGGGCATGACCGCTCGTGCGCGCCTGCGTCACGGCCCGTGGGCATTTCCCAAATCGGCCGGCCGAAACATTGGCCGAGAATAGTGGTTTTGAAGAAAGAATCTTTTAGCCGAATACGCAATTTTCGCACTGAATTCGCCGAAAATTGATGTTTTAGTGCCTCAATAGCATGCAAATCAGGGAGTTGTAAATACCGGTATTTTACGACTCCTGATGCAAATACAATTAATTTCCTGGAGCCATTATCTGCGAAAAGTGGCTGCGACTTTAGAGCCGAATTTACACCTTTCACAGAAATTTTCAGCCGATTCTGGCGATTTTTCAGCCGATCGAAAAGCCGAATAGGCCAAAATAAATGGCCGATTTGGGAAAGGCTTACTCACCACCACTGCCGTTTCCGTGCTGCCTTCTCGATACATACGTATGTACACTGTATATCATGTGCACATTCACATGTCTGAAGGTTTGCGGTTTTTCAATAAAAAAAAACAAAAAAACACATACTATATGTATGCATGGCATATGCTGTAAATCGGTAACCAACGATTTTCTTCTGGGTGGCGAGGGATCCGGATAAAAGAGGACCGGATAAGCGAGGTCTGACTGTATTTCTCTTTAGATACCCTCCACCATGCGTCTTACCTGCCCGCTGCGTTTCCCATTGCGATACTCTCCTTCGTACGTATCGCCGTTGGGCAGAATGGCCTTGCCTTTACCGTGACGCTCTTTCTGCTCATTGCGCTCGCCGTCGTATGACTGTGTGATACACACACATGCACGTACACACACACACACACACACACACACACACACACACACACACACACGGCTTGGGGGTTCAAATTTGTTGTCTTGGATTTTGGATAGTTCTACTAATGAGGTTTGTTTTTTAACCGATGGTGTACTAACGATGGTAGACCCGAGGCTGTGTCGCAAGCCAGTCATGCTGCACTGCTGCATTGTGTATCATAGTTATCAATCACTACTAGTTCCAGCATTCCAGCAACTAACAGTTGCTTAACCCACCAGTATTATTATACTGCAGCAGTATGTTCAGTATGCAGCTCAGTAAGCAGCTCAGTTCGCTCAGTAATTAAATATGCACTTTGTCCTTACCCCGAGGCCTGCGCCTTCTCCCTGAGAGCCAGCATCGGATTCGTCGTCAGACATTCTCCCCCTTCGAGATCGTTCAAACCCACCACCGCTATCGTAGTTGAGTTGACCCTCCTGCTCCTCGGGGATAGCTTCGAAACTAGCTATCACGAAAAGTTCTACAGGCCGTCCGCACACGAACACTGACAAGCGGCCCCTGCAGAGTGCCAGGCGACTACAACCTGCGTCGTGTGCAGTGTTTGGACCTAGCAGCTAGTCTCGTAGAACACCAAGCAAGCGTGTGTGTCCTGAGCCAGGCGGATAGCAGCAGCGTGAGTAACAATTGTAGCAGACAACTTCTGGAACCTGTAGATGTTCCCTCCACTCGCCCAAGATATGACTTTTTAGTGCACTGTGATTCAATCCGGGCAAAATGGTCAACTGCCAGAGAGAGGGCAGCACACGTTTACACAAGCTAGCTCTTCACTACCAAACCAAAACGATTTGCTTTTTAGAAAAGGCTGAACGAGATACCGAGGTTCGAACAACTAAACTACTTTGTCCTTGCCCATGTTGCACAGCTTATGTCGAATGCTTGACACTGACAGCACCATGGCTACAAGCCCGTTGCGAAGGAAGCTTTCTTCAAAGCGAAGGACTAAAGGGACCCTCACTTAATTTTTTGCCGACTACCCGCCAAAAAACACATTTCGACACGCGTGTGTGCTGGACGTCTGCGCGTGCACGACAAGACGTGAGCTGGCTGACAAGTGAGAGCCAGGGAGTCGTCAAGTACCGGCGTTTGACGACTCCCGGCCTGGTGAGAGCATGCATGCATGCATGCATGTCCAGCTGGCGGGAATGGGAACCTATTTTGTAGATCGATGGGTTGAATGTGAAATTGTGGATCTACACGAGGTTTGTTTTCATGTTCTGATACTTGTTGTAATGGCTAGTGATCTTGCAAACTGTAAAACTGTTACTGTGACTTTTCCAAGTCCTACTGATATACCTTGTCAAATCAGATGCCCTGTAGTAGTCTTGGTGGAAGCAGACTGGAATGCGTTGAATTCGTAGCTTCTGAAATTGAAAT